CCCGTGTTCGAGCTGCACCTCTCGCCTCAGCGCCGCGCGCGCCTGTCTTAATGCTTGCGGCAGCTACAGGGGTGGAGGATGGCCGCCTTTCCAGAAGTGGCCCTTGGCTTCGCGCGGCCGATTCGATAGATCCTGTGCTGTCCAGTTGGCGGGTGGGACAGTTGTCGTTGGTTGGCCCTTCCCCTCCACGTCCTCCGTCTTTCCCCCAAAACGGGTGCGCGCGAGCAGTGCACCTTGCACAGACAGAGCGAGGAGGGGCGGCGGGGTCCGCGCAGGCTCTTGCAGCGGCATTGCGAAACGGGGCAGGCGTTGGGAGGAGCAGTGCCCGAGGATGCGGGCTGCGCTGCGGGGCCGGCGTTTGGCGCCGCTGCGCCCTCGTCCTCCTCGTCCTCCTCCGCCCCGCCTCTTTGGGTGCTGCTGGCCCCCTCTTTCCCTCCGCTTGCTCCGCCTCCCTCTGCCCTCCTGCTCTCCTCCTCCCTCTTTTCTCCTCCTCCCCCTGGGCCACGGAAAACGGAGGTAGCTGATGCGTTCCGCTCTTCAGGCGCCATGGCATGGAGGGGGGAAGATGAGGAGGAGGAGGAGAAGGAGGAGGAGGAGGAGGAGGCCGAGGAGGAGGAGGAGGAGGAGGAGAAGTAGCAGGAGGAGCAGGAAGAGCAGGAGGAGGAGGAGGAGGAGGAGGAGGAGGAGGAGGAGGAGGAGGAGGGGAGGAGGAGGAGGAGGAGGAGGAGGAGGAGGAGGAGGATGAGGAGAGGAGGGAGGAGGAGGAGGAGGAAGGAGGAGGAGGAGGAGGGAGGAGATGAGGAGGAGGAGGAGAGAGGAGGAGGAGGAGTAGGAGGATGAGGAGGAGGAGGAGGAGGAGGAGAGGAGAGAGGAGGGAGGAGGAGGAGGAGGAGGAGGGAGGAGGAGGAGGAGGAGGGGGAGGGGAGGAGGAGGGAGGAGGAGGAGGAGGAGGAGGAGGAGGAGGAGGAGGAGGAGGAGGAGGGAGGAGGAGGAGGGAGGAGGAGAAGGAGGGATGGACGGAGGGAGGGAGGGAGGAGGGAGGGGACAGAGGGCGGGAGGACAAGACAGAAGGAGGAGTTTCGAGGAGGAGGGAGGGAGGGTGGCGTCGTCGCCCCGTCGTCGTCCCTGTCCGAGGCAGCGGCGGCCAGGGGCGAGCAGAGCGCGGGCCCGTTCTGGCGCGGCATGCCGAGGTGCCCCAGCGGGCGGTCGGCGGCGGGATCTCGGGCAGTGCCAGAGGGGGGGGGGGGGGGGGGGAGTCACCGCGTCCTGGATGTCGGGGGTCGGGGAAGGAGGAGGAGGAGGAGGAGGCGCGGAGGGGAGGAGGAGGAGGAGGAGGAGGGGGGAGGAGGGAGGAGGAGGGAGGAGGAGGAGGAGGAGGGCGAGGAGCATTCGGCGGTTGCGATATCCGGTGGTTGCGATCTTTGGAAGCAGCTCTCAATCATACGCCTGCCACTCTCCGAGCTCTGATCGATCTAGCTGCGGGGGCGTCTTCATGGCTAAACGAGTTTCGAGATGCCTTTGAATGGTTTCTGCTCTTTACACGTGAGCAGCGACCTGACACAGCTGATATGGATGCATGGGCTGCTGGTATTTGTTCGTCACCGTGGAGATGTTGAAACCAATGTGCCACATCATGCAAGAAGCTTCATGTATGGCTTCAAGGTTGAGGAGGAGAAGTCGGGGGAGGAGGAGCAGGAGGCGGAGGAGGAGCATACGGAGGTTGCGATATCCGACGGTTGCGATCTTTGGAAGCAGCTCCCAATCATACGCCTGCCACTCTCCGAGCTCTGATTGATCTGACTGCGGGACCATCTTCATGGCTCAGCGAGTGTCGAGATGCTTTTGCATGGTACCCACACTTGGCACGTGAACAGCGACCTGATACAGCTGATATGGATGCATGGGCTGCTGGTATTTGTTCGTCGCCGAGGGATATCGAAACCAATGTGCCACAGCATGTATTAAGTTTCATTTGTGGTTTCAAGGTGGTTGTCATCAGCAGATCTCGGGGGTCGGGGATGAGGAGGATGCGGAAGAGGAGGAAGGGAGCATTCGGCGGTCGCGATATCTGGAAGTTGCGATCTTTGGAAGCAGCTGTCAATCATACGCCCGCCACTCTTCGATCTCTGATCGATCTAGCTGCGGAACCATCTTCATGGCTCAGCGAGTTTCGAGGTGCTTTTGAACGGTACCCACAATTGACACGTGAGCAGCTACTTGATACAGCTGGTATGGATGCATTGACTGCTGGTATTTGTTCGTCACCGAGGGGGTGTCGAAGCCAATGTGCAACGGCATGTGTTAAGTTTCAGTTGTGGTTTCAAGGTGGTTGTCATTAGCAGATATGGTTGAGGCACATGATACCTTTTATTCCTACTTGTCCAGCCACTTACTGGCGGTACACTTACTATGAATGCGGTAAGACTTCCCAGGCGGTGCGGTCAGGCTTTTTTCACCGCAGACGTGTACACCTTCTTGCGTCGCTGGCTGAGCATTACCCTTAGAATTGATGCTGTGGTGCATGCGGCAGCGACTTGTCTCACACGCGAGCGACTTCTTGATCATTCGCGATTTCGGATTCCTAAACGCCTGGATGTCTTGCAACAGTTGTTCTGCCAACTTTCTGATGAGCGTGTGCAGGAACGCAAGGCACAGGACAAGGAACAGGCTTCAGCACTTTCTGGTCAGGGCTATGGTCATCCCAAGGCTTTGTAAACAGTACTTTAAAGCCCCAGTCGTAAGCGAGGTCAACGTATCCATCCTGACGCTGAATCGCTTCCGCCGAAGGAGGAGATTGTATCAGAACGACTTGTGCCATCTCAACAGGCTGAGACCGTTGGACACAATAGTTCAATACCTGACATTTATGATGGAGATGATGACGGATACTTTGCCGCATCTTGTTCTGTGCGCATTGGTCAGAACCTTTTGGCCTCGGACGCCTCTTTCCCGATTGATTGTGTAGATATCAACGATGTTGCTGAGACGATTGCTCTGCAGAGACCTGGCCACGATCTCGTTCGACGTATCCTCAATGATGAGTCCTAAGTGGTGTCTGTGGAGTTGCATTGCTTTTTTTCTCCCAGGCAGTCTGACTTCTGGGGCCATCCTACGGCGGGCATTGCGACGAGGACGCGCCTGCTGTGGGAGAACCAGCTTTTGCGCACGGTTCTGCCATTGCTAATAACGGCCCAGAGCACGGAAACCAAGTCCTCCACCACAGGAGGCACATAGCCTGCGCCACGGATGGAAGCGTTCGGCATCAGATGCAGCCCGGTGACCCGATCGAGCAGGCCGTCGAGGAGTTGAAGCTCCGCCGTAGGTGGGCCTGTTCCGTCCGCGGCCCCTGCCTGGATGAATGGAGGAGGTGTGTATGGAAGTGGGAGGGTAAGCGGAGGGGGGGGAGGGGGACGAGTAACGGGGGAGGTCTCGTGGTGGCGAGAGTGGCAGATTTGTCGTCTGGCGCCACCCGCGTGGACCCTCCACCGCTCGCCGCCGCCGCCGCCGCCATCGTTAGCCGCAGCGTGTGCAGCAACGATCGTGACGCTACGGATTCTTTCCGCCAGCGGGAGCGCAGCAGCAGAAGGAGGAGGGTAAGGGTGAGGATCAAGTTAGCCAGCCCGAACGAGCCAGAGGGCTTCGTCCACTCCCACCCGTCCTCCCACAACATGAGAAGTGCGTCGCGTCCGACGCCTGTCGCTCATCTCATATCGTGGGCGGCTCGACTTTCAGCGCGCGACATGAGCTGCGCCCCATCCCTGCCGCGTATGGAGCAACGTCGACGAGAAACAAAACCGCGCGCGATGTACGCCGCGCGCCGCTCCAGCCTCTCATGTTGCATCGTCGGCGGCAACATTTACAACGCGCGAAGTGCGCCGCGTCTCATTCCAGCCACGCGTGTTGTACCGCCAATCGTTTCGCTCCTGCCGCGCATGGAGGGAGGGAGGGAGGGAGAAATTGAGGAGGAAGAGGAGAATGCCTCTTGGGAATTCGCGGGGCGTCCTGGGAGCTTTCTGGTATACGCCTGAGGGCCTCTAGGATATATTTTCCGGGGTGGAACATTGTCAACACAAGCAGGTGCTAACCTCACCATCCTTCAAACACCAAAAGAAAAACAATATTTTTGTTGCCCCCCCAGGACCTCCAGGACGCCATTTTTCGACCTCTTGCCTCTTGGGGGTCTCCTGAGGCACTTGCTTGAACCGCACTTGCTCGAGGCATTCTGATTTGCCGCCCGCCCAGCTCCTCAACCCGACGGGCCGCAGCGCCGACGACAAGAAAGTCCATGTAGACGAGCAGGCGCCCTCGCGCGATATGCGCCGCGTCCCATTCCCGCTGCGCGATTCGCAGCGCCAGCGTGGAGAAAAGACATGTTGACAAAACAAACGTCGACGTTGCGGTGCTTTTTGACAGGTCGGACGGGGGGGGGTCCCGCGTAGGGTTGGCCAGGCGTCCGCGCGCGATGTGTCTGCGTCCCGTTCCTGTTGCGTTTTTTTTCGCAGCGTCGACGACAATAATCTCCACGCTGACGAGAAAATCGTTGACTTTGTATTGTTTTTGGATGGGTAGGACGCGACCACCCGCCTCCGGTTACCCAAACCATGTTCATTCCGTCCCGTTCACGTGGCACTTTTCGCAACTCGACGACATGTGGGCGAACACAAAATTGCTTTTGTATGGTTTTTTACTGTTAGGACGGCGGGGTTGCTATCGGCCGGCTAGGTGGGGACGCGGGGGTGTTTAATCATAGGAAGCAAGGGTGAGGATGGTGAGGGAGGAGGAAGAGGTGGTGGAGGAGGAGGAAGAAGAAGAAGAGGGGGAGGAGAAGGAGGAGGGGGAGGAGGAGGAGGAGGAGGAGGAGGAGGAGGAGGAGGAGGAGGAGGAGGAGGATCAGGAGGAGGAGGAGGAGGAGGAGGAGGAAAAAGAGGGGGAGGAGAAAAAGGAGGGGGAGGAGGGGGAGAGGAGGAGGAAGGAGGAGGAGGGAGGAGGAGAGGAGGAGGAGGAGGATGAGGAGGAGGAGGAGGAGGGAGGAGGAGGGAGGAGGAGGGGGAGGAGAGAGGAGGAAGAGGAGGAGGAGGAGGGGGAGGAGGAGGAGGAGGAGGAGGAGGAGGAGGAGGAGGAGGAGGAGGAGGAGGAGGAGGAGGAGAGGGAGGAGGAGGAGGAGCAGCAGCAGCAGCAGCAGCAGCAGGAGGAGGAGAAGGATCGAGGATCGAGGGCGCCTGGGGCGTCTCTGGCCGCCCTCGGGGAGCTTCGGGGGTGGTCTCCTGGGGGTCGAGGGGGGCTGGGACTGCCGGCGCTCCCAACCTTCGTCGCCCCTGCGGCTGGTCGGCGGGCATGTCCGGTGTCGGGCGTCCGAGGGCGCCGCGTCCCATGGGTCGCGGGGGGCGGCAAGAGACGGAGCACTGGGCGCGGGCGCTGGGATGCACGCTTCATGGCGCCAACCTCGCAGGGCGCATTTCGTTCGGAAAACGAAAGGGTGGGCCCGGAGTGTCCCAGAGAATTTCGTTCCGGATTTCGGGGTGGATTTTGCGCGGATTTTTTTGGGCCAGGAATGGAGACTAAAAAAAATCCACGCGAAGTTTACTTCGTTTTTCACTCGCCGTTTCGGGGTTTTGCAATGACAGAAATCCACGCCCCAAATCCGCTGCAGCACGTCTGCAAGGTCGGTGCAGTGACATGCTGGTGGAGGCGGAAGAGGACTCCAGGGCAACGTTACAGTCATGGTCCCATTCTTAGCGTGTGGCTGGGAATGCGCCTATGCATGCTGCGTGCGCCGCACTTGGCGTGTGTCCTGCGTGGTTGGTACTCAGCGTGTCTGTCGGAGGGCTGTTTTACCCGACCCGTCTTAGCGTGTACGCCCCTGCGTTGCTCAGCGTGTCAACGGCTTCGGCTTCGCGGGGCCCGGAATCGCACACGCGCTAAGAGCAGGACAGTGACCGTCGGGGGGGACGGGCTCAGGGGTGGAATGCGTCGTCGAAGAGGAGCGTGCGGCACGAACGGCGAGAGGTCCGCGCGGATCTCTTGGATCTGCGCTGGGTCTCCATCGCGGCGCCTCCGGCGCGGACCCTGGCGCGCCCCCGTGCGCCAGGGAGGGGGCTGCAGCGCCGACCCAAGAAGTTCACGCGGGGCTCCTCAAGAGCACGCCCTGAGCTCTTCTTCGAGGCAGGGGCCCGACAGCGCCAGTGGCCCACGCCGCTCAGGACAGTGCGGATTCGTGTCGGGGGCCTGCCGCTCTATCGGCGACGTGTCGCCAGTTCCGGGTCGTTGTTGCCCCCCCCGCCCCCCCCATGAGCCAGCCCCCCCCCCCGTCGTTGCCACACTACATCGGCGTCACCCCAACATACTTATACCATGTGTGCGTCCCCCCCCCAGGGGCGACGCGCGCACAGAGAAATCTTATAGAGTATGCGTCGTGGCGGGCGCTTTCTGGCCGCACCGCTCGCGAAACGATATACGATAAGATGGGTATGCTATATGTTCGGGTCGGACGCGTTGTCCGCAAGTTCTTGGGCCTCTGCGGAGAACCTCGCTCGCCGAGCCTCGGTCTGTGTCGAGGAACGTGCGGATTCGTTGGGGGCCGCAGCAGCAGAAGGAGGAGGGTAAAGTGTGAGGATGGATTAGAATGAGGGGGAGGTGGTGGAGGCGGAGGAGGATGAGGAAGAGGAGGAGGAGGAGGAGGAGGAGGGGGAGGGGGAGGGGGAGGAGGAGGAGGAGAGGAGGAGGAGGAGGAGGAGGAGGAGAGGAGGAGGAGGAGGAGGAAAGAGAGCGGAGGAGGAGGAGGAGGAGGGGAAGAGGAGGAGGAGGAGGAGGAGGAGGAGGTAGGATCGAGGATCGAGGGCCGCTGCGACAAGAAACGGCGCCGTAAAACATCGCCGCTGGAGCCCCCCAGAGCCCACCTTCCTGCGGCATTGTTTGCTGGCCGCATCGGTCCATGACCGCCCCCGGGGGCCCCGACACAAGGCGAAAACGCCCTGCATAATATCGGGAGCCTTGAGACGGGGGTCAATGCAAACAGGGGGTCAGCCAGGGCGCAAGATCCTGCACGCTCCTGCAGGGCCAGAGTCGCATTGACCCGGGTGTGGGTGCAGGATCCTGCAGGATCCTTGCAGGATCCTTCGCATGGACCCGGGTTTGAGCGCAGGATCCTGCATGATCCTGTAAGGCCTGACTGACCCAGGTCGTGCATTGACCTGGAGGAGGAGAAGGAGGAGGAGGAGGAGGAGGAGGAGGAGGAGGGAGGAGGGAGGGGGAGGGGGGAGGAGAGGAGGAGGAGGAGGAGGAGAAGGACGAGGAGGAGAAGGGGAGGAGGACGGGAAGGAGGAGAGGAGGAGGGAGGAGGGGGAGGAGGAGGAGGAGGAGAAGGATCGAGGATCGAGGATCGAGGACCGCTGCGACAAGACACGGCGCCGTAAAACATCGCGGCCTCGCAGCTGGGTGGCCGCGGGGCGCTCCCTGCGCCCGCTCGGGCCCGACGAGGAGCACTTCCGCCTGGAGCAGCAGGCCGCCGCTGCTGCCAACGGCGACGAAGACGACGAAGACGACGAATGGTCCTCCTCTATCGTCTGCGCCTCATCCTCTTCCGCCTTCCCCTCCTCCCGTCGCACTCCGCCTCCTCCTCCTCCTTCTCCTCCTCCCCCCCTCCTCCCTCCTGATTGGGTTCCTCCTCCTCTTCCTCCTCATCCCTCCTCCTCCTCCTCCTCCTTCTTCTTCTCCTTCTCCTCCTCCTCATCTTCCTCTCTCCTCCTTCTCACCTCGTCCTTCTTCTCCTCCTCCTGCTCCTCCTCCTGCTCCTGCTCCTCCTCCTCCTCCTCCTCCTCCTCCTCCTCTTCCTCCTCCCCCCCTGCTCCGTCTTCTCCTCCCCTCATTTCCCTCCCTTCCCTCCCCTTCCTCCCCTCCCTCCTCAGAGGCGCTCCTAGGTCCCAGACGTGTCCTGGAGCGCGTACTGACAAGGGGCTCGAAGCGAGCTCGGCCCTGGGCGACGACTGTCCGCCCGTGGGCACCGCACGGCCGAGGAGCGTAGCGCTGCTGCTGCAGGCTGTTCCTCCTCCTCCTTGGTCTTGTTCTCCTTCCTCCCCCTCGTCGACTGCGAGCGATGGGGGGGAAGTGAGAAGGAGAAGGCCTTCTCAGAAGGCGGCGGGGCTTCTCAGAAGCCCTCGCGCCCTTTGAGAAGTGTTCCTTGTCTTCGGGGAAGGCTTAGGAGACTTCTCGGGCCAGGGGGCTTCCGAGCCTTCTGAGAAGGCCCGCCCCCTCTCACTTCCCCCTCTCGCTCGCCGCCTGCCTCGCGCACTTTGGCGCGCACGGGCATGCGCGCGCGGGGGGGGGGGGGGAGAGGGGGGAGGGCGGGAGGGCGGGGGGAGGAAGAGAAGGGCCAGAGCAGACACGCCCAGGATGCAGCTGCGCCGCCGCAGGCGTGCGCTCCCACCTCAAGCCCTCCTCGCGTGGACCTCTGCACGTGTTGCTTCTCACTCTGGGGAGCGCGCCCTTGAAAGGCGGTCGCCCCACTGGGCTGCCATGCAGGCGAGAGCCCCGTGTTGAGACTGAACCTCCCTCCAGCCTGGTCCTTGTCCAACGCCAACGTTTAGAATCCTAGGGTTGAAGGACGTGCCGAGCGAGGGCCCCACTCTGAGCAGGAGCCGCCGTTGACTGGTGTGGCAGAGCTTTGCGCTGCTTGGTCCGATGCCCCACTGCGAGAGGGAGTTGCCCTTCACGCGTGCGTCCGCTGGCGGCGTTTGGCGCGAGCGTGCGCGGCGCGGACGCGACGGTGGAGACCCATGCGCGGCGCCAAAAGGGCAGGCACATCTCTCGACATCTGGCCCGCCCTGCGTCCCGTGTAACGCTCGGACGTTTTGGCGACGAACGTGCGCGGCGCTGCGGCGAGAGCAACGTGTTCGACACGAACTTGCCCTCCATCCTCCTCCCTCCTCCATCCTCCCTCCTCCCCTCCTCCCCCTTCCTCCTCCTCCACCTCCTCCTCCACTCCTTCTCCTTACGAACAACTCCTCCCTTTCACACCCCGAGGCCAGTCGTGCACCCACTGCTGGAAGTGCATGCCAGGGCACAGTGGGCAGATCGAGGGGGCGAGAACAACGCCCGGCTCGCCCGGCCGGCACGCCCGGTGGCGCAATGGCGGGGGAGCGCGCGTCGCGACGCAGGGGGTGCGGGAGAAGGAGAGGGCTGCCTAAAGCACCCCAGAGTCGTCAAGAAGATTGGTTCTGCTCAGAGGGTGTGCTTAGTAATACGGCAACACCTTCTCCTTCACCCTCCGGGACTTCTCCCCCGGTACCCGTCCGCGGCGCACCTGCTCCTGCACATCCACTTCGGCACCGCCTGCACCCCTGGGCTTCGCCCACTCCGGCCGCCTGAGGCCCCGCCTTCCTGTGCCCTGTCTCCCTAATTGAAGCTGTGCGTAGCTCGCCTAGCTTTTAGCGGAAGAGGTTCGCTCTCGCCCCGCAGATCAACAAGTGTGTGTGTGTGTGTGTGTGTGTGCGTGTGTGTGTGTGTGTGTGTGTTTTCGGGTCGTTCTGGCTGCATCCCGTCCGCACGCATGGCCGGTTTGCCTGACGCGGGGAGGCTCTGCACATGGGGGCCGGGCCGCTGCACGCGAAGGTAGCGCGCGCCCGCGGGGCAGTCGAGGCACAGATCCTGATCCGATTCCTCCGCGTTCCACCGTGACGCCAGGTCGACCGTCGAACGGCTGCGCTCTCTCCCCTGCTCTCAGCCACGCGCAGAAGGGGGTGGGGGGAGGGGGGAGGGCTTCTTAGAAGCACCCCTGCTTCTTAGAAGGCGCTGGCCTTACCTATAGATGTAAGGCCGCCGCCCTCTCAGAAGCAGCCTCCTCCCGAGAAGCCCTCCCCCCTCCCTCCACCCCCTTGTGCGTGCGCACCGCCAGTGCTCGCTGCTCCCTGCTCCCGGCACGACCGCCGGAATGCCCTGCAACAGCGCCGTGAGTAGGGGAACAAAAAGTGACGTAAACATGATTACCCCAGTGCGACCCTACCTAGAAGTTGGAGCCCCTAGGAAAGCAGCATTAGTTGCTATGCTATGCTATGCTATGTCATGCTATGCTGCGCTATGCTATGCTGTGCTATGCTATGCTATGATATGCTATGCTATGATATGCTGCGCTATGCTATGCTATGCAGTGCTATGCTATGCCATGCGATGCTAAGCTATGATATGTCATGCTGCGCTGTGCTATGCCAAACTATGCTATGCTATACTATGCTAAGCTGCGCTATGCTATACTATGCTATGCTAGGCTAGCTCGGCATCTGTCGCACATTGTTTTTGCTTTGCCTTTCCTTTGCTTTGCTTTTGCTTTTGCGTTGCTTTGCTTTGCGTTGCTCGTGCTTTGCTTTGCTGTCGCTGCGGTTGCTTTGCCTTTGCGTTGCTGCTATGCTATGCTATGCTCTGCTATGCTATGCTATGCTATGCTGCGCTGTGCTATGCTGTGCTGTGCTGTGCTGCGCTATGCTATGCTATGCTGTGCTGCGCTATGCTATGCTATGCTGGGCTATACTCTGACATGCTGTGCTGCGCTATGCTATGCTACACTATGCTATGCTATGCTAGGCTCTGCTATGCTAAAGCTCAGCGTAGCTAAGATGAAGGTAAGCTAAGCTAAGATAAACGTGAGCTAAGATGAAGTTAAGCTAAGCTAAGATGACATAAGCTAAGCTAAGATGAGATAAACAACGCTAACCACATGCCCACGATAATAATGTACCCCCCTTAAGTAGTTCGAGTTTTTTTATCGTCGACCAATAAGAGTTTGGTCGGGGGCGCGGGGGCGCGGAGGCCGAACTTCATTATCACGGGACAAGTTCGCCATCGAGGTTACTTCCTTCTCATGTTGAGATAACAACATCACGCGAAGCGAACACGTGTGCTCTTTCTCTCTTTTTCTTTGTGTTGCTTTCTGTTTCTCTCTCTCTCTGCCTCTCTCTCTGTCTTTCTTTCTCCTCCTCCCTCTGGCGCCCTGAACTTGTTTATCGCTACACGAGCAGATGAAACAATTAATTTTCATTAAGCGTTTACAAATTAAATCTAATAAGTTTTCAACTTTGGATTTTTGCTTCTACCTCCTGCTCTGCTTCTCCTGCTCTTCCTCCTTCTCATCCTTCTCCTCTTCCCTTTCTTCTTTCTTTATATTTCTCTTTCTATTTGTTTTTCTTCTTGTCTCCCTGGCCCCCTGAACTTGTTTATCGCTGGGGTTGATTATCCTGGGAAAACTAAGCGCATGAGCTACCCCTATACGATCAGATGAAAATTTTAATTTTCATTAAGCGTTTACAAATTAAATCTAATAAGTTTTGAACTTTGGATGTTTGCTTCCTCGTTCTTCTCTCCTCCTCTTGCTCTTTCTCCTCCTTCTCATCCTCTTCCTCCTCTTCCTCCTCTACCTCCTCTTCCTCTTCTTCTCTCTTTTTGATGAGGAGGATGTCTCAAGCGAAACAAGCAATTCGCTGAGGATGTCTCAACCGAGACAAATCATTGTTGAGGATGTCTCATCGAGGACCAAAGACCAAGGATCCTCAAGATATCTGTGGCTTTTTCCTCTTGATATCTCTTTATGCTGGCTCTGGCGGGCAACTTTTATTATCCCCCCGAAAACCCCGAACTTTATGATCCCTTAGGGTTTATTATCTGCAGCATGGGGTTAAGCTAAGGGGACGTAACTGGGGGAACCGCGGGGCGGATGCCGGGGGAACCGCCCGGGGCGGGCCCCACTGCCCGGCCCTTCAAGCCACCGAGTAAGAACTCTTCTAGGCAGAGCCCAGGTAGGGAAAAACTCGGAGGTCCGCGCGGATTTCTCGGATCGGCGCTGGACCTCCCTCCCTGGCGCGCGGAGCGCGCCAGGGGCGGCGCCGGAGGCGCCGCCGGGGGGCCCCAGCGCCGATCCGAGAAATCCGCGCGGAGCTCAGAGTTTTTATGCTTGTGCCACTTCTGGGACGCACCCCTGGGACTGCTGCGTGAGTGTCGTCGCGGGCCGCCGCCTCCAGCGTGGTCCCGTGGGGGGGTCCCGTGGGGGGGTCCGACCCTGGCCCTCGACAGGCCTTCCCCCTCCCCCTCCCCCCCTCAAAGGCACCAGCCTTCGGGAGGAGGCGGAGGCAGACCCCTCCTCCTCCTTCTCCTCCTCCTCCTCCTCCTCCCTGATTGGGCTCCTCCCCTCCTCCTCTTCCTCCTCCTCCTCCTCCTCCTCCTCTTCCTCCTCTTCCTCCTCCTCCTCTTCCTCCTCCTCCTCATCCTCCTCGTTCCTCTTCTCCGCCTCCTCCTCTTCGGCCGTAGCCGTTTTGGCTCAAGCGATTTGCCCCCAACTGTTGGGCTTGAGCTCCGCGGCGCCTCGCGCCTCCTCATCCTGCGCGCTTCCCGGTGACCCCTCGAGCAGCGCAGTGATGGCCCCGCTTCCCGAGTTCACGATGGACCAGGTTGCCGCCCACCAGAGCGACGACGACATGTGGATCGTGGTGGACGGGAATGTCTACGACGTCACGAAGTTC